AAAAAAAAAAAAAAAACAGCCTGAAGGTGGGATAAAATGGAAAAAAGCTAACAATTCAGGAATCAAATCTCCCGGCATCTGCACTGCCCCTGTTACACATTAAGCACAGTTGTGACCATTCATTCTTAATCTGATCAACATGTCTAATAAGTAGAATGTAAGTACCTGGTCAGTGCCTTGACTCATACTTAGTGATAGTGACATCGGTGTGAGGAGAATAGAGGATTCTGTGTTCCTGTTATACCAATGGCAGATTGGGGACACAGAACTTGCAGCAATTTTGTTACCAGGGAGACCCCTAGCTTGTCTCACCCTGGGTCCAGAGCACTCTGCCCTTGCTGTGTGTGGCCACATCTCGGTTACTGCAGTATCTCTGTGAGTTCCCAACAGGCAGGGATACTTCTTCCTACTGAAACCCCTGACACTAATATACTCACCAACAATTTCACTGTATTTCTTTTGAATTAACTCTCCCATCTCTCCAGGACAAGCTTGGTGAAGCAAATTGAATTCAATTTCCGATCACAAGCCATCACCTCTCCCAGAGCCACAGTGTCAAAAGAACAAGAGAAGTTTGGAAAAGTACCATTTGATTATGCCAGTTTTGATGCCCAAGTTTTTGGTAAACGTCCCCTTGTACAAACAGGGCAAGGTCGAAAAACACCACCATTCCCTGAATGTAAGCTTCAAATTCAAATTCTAATATTTGTTGGCCAAAAATGCATCTTATGTGTATTGCTTACAGATAACAATATAAAACCCAGAAGTGGGCTGGGGTTATAGATATAGTTCAGTGGTAGAATGCTTGCCTTGCATGACCAAAATTCTGGTTCAGTCCCCAGCAGGGGAGAGGAGAATAATATCTACTAAACAGACTGAAGGAGTCTTCCTGTCAATGAACAGTACATTATTTTCCAAAAGATATTTTATTATTGCCAAAAATATGTACCACCCAACATACATGACCACTGGTAGCCTGTTAGATTCAGAAAAAAATTAGACACACATAATGTTTTATATCTATTTATTTATACAGTTACATATATATTATTCACACACAATATACAGACATATAAATATCTTAGCTCAGGTAAAGCTAGCCAATAACAGCATTCTGTGCATTCGTATACTATGGATATTGATTTTATAAACTGCAAAACATTTGATGAATCTTCATATTCTTATAGGAATAACATTCGCTGATATTTTATATTTTGCTTTATGAAAAATAATCAAATATTTAAAATAAACAGTAATCGCAAATGAAGAGCCCACATTAAATCTTGGGTGTTTCTCCCATAACCTTGAGTGATGCTTATAAACACCCCACAGCAAAGAGAAATATGTGTAATTCTATCTCTAAGTGATGCCTTGGTAATCCATGACAGAAACATAAAACGGAAACTCAGCCTTGATAGCTAAATTGCCTTTCTGTTCACCTTGAGAACATTTCTTCTCTGTCCTTTGCTTATCTCACTCTCCCCGAATATGCAAAATGCCAGCTCATTAAAGGCTCCACCATCTATTTAGTTCCATCTATTTGGATGAAAAACAACTTCTACTAGTTTAAGTACAGAACAAACCTGCATATCAAATAACAATGTAATTTCACGTCTAAGTATAAATTGTTCAGAGAACAAACATTGGAAGCATACAATTTTTTCTGTAATAGAAGTACGAGTCCTACACAGTTTTTACAAGTGCATGCCTCAAGCTCTCTGTAGTCCCTGATAGGTTTTGCTCATGTGTTTTTATCTGCAATTTTTTGCCACAAATGTTGCCAGTGCACCTGTGCCATAACATTAGTTATGGAGTTTTTGTCCTAAGAAGTGTAAATACCAAAAATATTAAGAGAATAGGCATTCTGTCCCAGCAATCACATCATTTGATCTGTGAACCTTGGTTAAAACCCATCTGAATAACCTTCATTTAACATACCAATGGTTAATGGCTCCTGCTTCAATTTACTCTTCACATATTTGGTGCAAGAAGTTATAGCTTAAAAAAAACCAAATCTATCTAATGACTAAAAGCACGTACATGCAATTGCTAATCAAATCTCTCTTCAACAGCAAAGCCTTTTTCAAATCCAGTGAAATTTCCTAATCGACTGCCTAGTGCAGGCGCCCACACACAGAGCCCAAGCGGTGCCAGCTCTTATAGCTACGGTCAATGTAGTGAAGACACCCACATAGCAGCAGCTGCTGCCATCCTGAACCTTTCCACCCGCTGCAGGGAAGCCGCAGACATCCTCTCCAACAAACCACAGAGTCTGCATGCCAAGGTAGGCCAGTCCAAGAACCCAGAGGGTGGGCCGGCGACTGAACCGTGAGAATAAACTGCCTTTCATGTTCCTAACCACATTCACCATGACTCTGTGCCCCCACCCCAAAGCCGTCCCCGCCCTTCTTAGGAAGGGAAGATTTGGCAGGGATCCACTCTCTGGGTTCAAAGGAGAAAGCGTGCATTTCTTGGTCAGTCCCTCCTCTGGAAAGAAGGGTAATGAAGTTTGAGGAAAAGTGAACTATGGAGATTAGTTGGGAAAATTTACAGATTTCCGAGCTATTTTTTGTTGTGGGGAGTTTGATATACAAGAAAAGAAATTTTCTGTTGAAATAAATCTCGATCATGAATGGATGTTTTTGCTGTCTGCAAGCCAAAGATGATAAGTACTATCTGATTAAACAGAACTGGTAAAACATTTGGAAAATTGACCCATGAATTTTTATTATTGTACACGTGACTGTTATATAACATAAGATGGTCTACGTTGCAGAGTATTCTCAAAAGATGTGTTGTAAAACCCAGGCACATTAAATCAACCAATGATTCGGGGAGGTTTGGGGACTTAGAGCACTCCAAAATCAAAATCAAATTCTGTGCTCATTACAAAAACACTACATTTCTGAACTGCATAAAATTAATCACATTCTTCCGGTAGCCTCTCCTTTCCAACTATGAGAAATCCATATCCGTGTTCACGGTGACCTGATGAACACACACAAAGACCCTCCATGTCTTGCTTTTGATGGTGAGGAACTTGTCACGCTAGAGCCCATTGACCTCAGAGGAGGCTGTAGAGCTTGGCCATTTCCTCAGGCAGGACACAATGATTCCTGTTTACACAAAGGGCTTTGCTTACAAGAAATTATTTCCCTGCTTATACAGCTGGAGCCAGCTGAAATAAGGTGCCCAGACTTAATTTGATAAGAGATTTTACCTTTGCATTAAGTGGGAGATTCCTTGAGCTAAACTGGAACCCTGAAACCCAGGCAATTAAAGCCCTTCTCTTTTTTCCCCTTTAAGTACAACCCGTCCTCTGTGCAGTCAGCTGCCGGCCTGTACCTTGCCAGGCCTTCGGGAGAGCAGGTACATCGTGCCACTGAGCACTTGACAGGAGAATCAGAATTAGCTTCTGGACAAAGCTAAGCCAAATAAACCCCAGGAAGAGTTGGTGGCCAAAACCACTCAAAACAGTTTTTAAACAATCGGGGGTCTTAAACAAAGAAAAACATATCCTCTGAAAATATAAAGAAAATACTACACTATCTGAATTCAAGGCCATCCTAGTCACAAATTATTGACATAGGTGAATTTTAAAATGTAACTTTATTCTGAAATTCGTGTTTTAAATCTGAGTGAATTTCTCCTTTTATAAAGGAGTATTCTACTAGACATCTAGTTGTAATGTTAAAATATCTTCCTGCCTAGGTCTTTATTACTTGATGGTTTAGGCTGTCATGTGAGAATAAGAATACCAACATTGTAATTGTTAACATTAAAGTTCTCAAGTAATGCTGCTAAGATAGATGCTTTCCATCTCATCTAGATGTTTTTCTGTTCCTCAGGCTTTTCTGTTCACCTTAACATGCTCCATACCCCATTAAATTGTGACTGTCAAACAATGTAACAATGGTGACTAAAATTTGAAGAACTTTTCTCCTTATCAGTATTTTTTAAAACATGTTTTTGATTGGAAACATGTTTTGATTCGTTTAATCAGCACATTTCAAAAATTCAAATAATAGACTTCTAGTACATATGCCCCCCTCCTGCTACTACGGTGGCTGTGCAGGGAGCCTGCCTGCTTAGGGTAGGGGAGCCCCATGCAGGTGACAGCCTGCTGCAGGAGCCAGACCACCCAGGAGTGATGAGCATGGAAGGGACAGAGTCCACAGGAAGACTTTTGAAAGAAGCTGGTTATGCCCGGAGTTTAAAAAGCCACTTTCCTATGAAAATTGCCTCCTACGACACAGTGGTTGTTAGAATAAATATGCCATCTGCGCTGTCCCTGTGGAATCCTTCCCAGTGCTCTTAGACACGAACACAACCCCACACAGCTATAACAGTTTGTAGGATTCTGTCCTGAGTGAATCTTATTTTCTAAATGTAGGAGAATTCCCCCAAATCCCTGAAATAAACAAACAATAAATGTGTGTCTTGTCAAAAGTGAGAAAAGCCAAGGAAACACCCTGAAAGTCAGCCTATGAGCAAGCATAGCCCCCTGTGGGCCTTCTGGGTGTCCATGTTGACCTTTGCACCTTTTCCTTGCTGTAGGCTTGAATGTAAACAGCCTTTTCCTCCGCAGTGAATGCTAGCCTGAGTCTCTTTCCACTCGATTAGAGGTTTTCCCTGTGGCAGACTGTTGGTGTGTTTATTTCTCTTGAGTTTCTTATTCAGAAATAAGATCGCAGGATGCCTAATTTTCACCTTACACTATACCTCCCTGGCTAAACATCCCCCCCCCGACACACACACCACCCCCACACTCCTCTCTTTCGCCTCTCGCTTTAATTTGGCACCTAGAGAGCACTGAGCTACACCTCCAGTCCTTATTAAGACAGGGTCTCACTAAACTACCCAGGTAGACCTCAAACTTGTAACCCTTTTTTCTTAGACTCTCTGGTAGCTGGGTTCACAAGCATACAACCAGCCAAAGCATTTTTGATGTATTAGAAAGACATCCTGGTAAGTGGACTCACAGTAGGTACAAACCAAAAGCTCTGTAAGTGCTGGACTGCCCCCACAGGGTAGTTTCACTCACAGACTGTTTTCAAGGAGTCTAAGAACAGTCAGGAAGAAGGCAGTGGTCCTCTGGGAACTGTGCCTGCCTTATTTCAGGTGGAGGTCTGGGTTTGTAGAAGTGAGATGGGTTACTCCCAGGGCAGGACAGATAGCTTGAGGGGAATTATGTCAGTACTTGGGTGATGGCAGATTTCTCACATCCTTTGGTTTCATCCAGTCTTTTATGCAATAATCATCTCTTCAGTTGCTTAGAGTACCCAAGAGAAAAATGAATTAAAGATCATACTGAGCCATGTGTGGTGGCACATGCCTGTAATATTACCTACTCAGAAGGCTGAGACAGAACAATTGTGAGTTTAAGGTCAGCCTCTGCAATTTAGCAAGACCATCTTAACATATAATAATGATGATGATGATGATGATAAAATAATAACACTGTCACATCCTTTGTAAAATCAAGTCAAAGCCCACTACCCTCAAAATTGACTTCATGGGTACCTGTTGGGACAAACACAGATTTTTTTCATGTTGTCTGCAAACACACAACTGACTCTGAGTTTAATGGGAGATTTAAATCAGTCATTTCCAAAAGCACTACTCTAATGAAAATCATGAGAGCCGATGCTGATTTTAGACGGACAAGAAAACTTTTGAGTTCCTACACAACCTAAAATTAATGTAGGGCGACATGAGTAGGCTGTGTTCTTTTTTTCCTTTCCTTAGTCCTGTACACTACGACACTTTGTCCCTCCAGCCCTTCCCAGCCCTGAAGGCTCTCATGGTAGTGCATGTTGTCACCCATCCATGCAACCAGTGCCCACCAAGCACCAGTGCCCAGTTATGCTCCGTGTGCTGGACCATCAGTGTTTGTCTGACTTTGCTAGTCGGTGCCCAGGCCAGAACCCTTCACATCCCAAAAATAAAATACTTGAAAGCAAATTATTTACTTATTAAAATATCATTTGGCCTGTGCACAACACATTGGCTTGCATGGTTTTAAGGATCCCTTTAAGGAATCAAGTCAGGAAAAAAACAATGGATATCATGAAGATTAAAGGTAGTGTCATCTACAATATCAGCTATCTTTTGAGTCCAGTACTTTTGTTAGTTCTAAGATGTACATAATGTTTCCCATTTTAAATTTCAATTAGTATGAGTTGTGAAACATAAACGTGACACAGATCCAAACACCTCCCTTTTCATCAGGCCACTGTGACTTGGGACAGGAGCACAGCCCACGGTATAAATGAGCAGAGCGACTTCCTAGATTAGCTGGGGGCTTCCTCCAGGGCACCCAGGAGCCTGGGCCAGCCTAAGTCAGATACGCTCCCCATTTTTCTTCTTCTTCTACCCTGATCGACAGAGGTAGGAACATGCTTCAGAGTCTATCTTTATCCTCATCGCTGCTACTTGCCAAGCATTCTGTTGTTTGTTTTGGTGTTTTCCCCACCTGTTTAGACAAAATGACATATGCACAGTGTGCCTTAAAAGAAAACAAAAAATTGACACTTGCTTGAAATGTTTAAAGTTCAAAGTCTGTTTTGTGCTTGAACAAGGCCTGGAAACAACATGATGTTGCAGCACCACTCTTACTGCCTCTTATCAGGAATAGCCTGGTGGCCCTTGGGATGGTTAGAACCCCAAAGCAATTTTTTCTGTAACTTTAACATCAGACCTGATTGTACCATATTTTTAGTGATGGTGTTGAGTCAGGAGTTACTGATTGAATTGCATGGAGGAACTAGGGATTTAATAGCTGGCTCTTTAACCTTCTGTGCAGTGACCCTAGTCTCTTTTGGTATTCAAAAATCTAGGCAGATTATTATTATAATTACTTGTCATTTGATGAACACCTACTATATGCCAAGTACCATGCAAAAGCACTTTCTCCATGTGAATCATTTTTAGAATATTTCTAGAAACTTTGTAAAATATATAATATTTCTCCATTTTTGCAGAGGAAGAAATGGTAGTAGAGAGATAATGAGAAATTTTTTTTGAGTGGTGCTGTTTTAACCAAAATCTGAATTCATACCAGTCTGACTCTTTTTCTTTTTGATAAGGTTTTTTTGTTTTTGTTTTTGTTTTGTTTGTGGTACTGGGGTCCTTGTACTTGCAAGGCAGGCAGCAGAACCACTGAGCTAAATCCCCGGCCCTCTCTTTTTCTTTTTGACTCCTTTAAGACCTTACAGCATGCAGATCATCAGCCCATAATATGGCCTCAAGTCCCAAAGATTGGGGGAATTGTTTATAAATTTCATTCAAATTTGACATCTTATATTAGTTAATTCTCTCCACTCCATCATTCTATTGTATTAAATATTTTTTCAATTTCATTATCTTAATAGTCTTAATGCTCAATTTTCATTGAGAATGAAATCTTTTTATATCATCTACATATTAATACCTGGCCTATTTGAAAGCATATTTAGGAGAGCATTCAGTACAGGAAAGACTCCCCTCCCCAAACAAAGCAGGGAAGGGAGCTGCCAGAGGAAAGTCAGGACACTTTGTAAAAACCCAGGTAGAAGGAACAGAGCCTGTAATGTGTCTTAGCCAACTCAGAAGGAGATTTCAAGTGCCCCATCCTGGCTAAGAGAAAGCTTGTCAAGGAATAAACACAATGCTGTCTTAAGTTATCAATGTTGTGAAAATTAGTAATTTTCATAATCAGAGCACTTAAGGGAAAACAATCTTATTTTTACATCATCGCCATCTTTGAATGTGTAATTTTTAATTGTTAAACAAAATAATATTATCACTTTTCTGGAAAATAATGGAGGAGAGCAGCTACAAGTTTATTTTCTAGATACAGTAATTTATGTGCTAGCTCTCTTTCATTGTAAGCATAGTAGAAATGCCATGATAGTATTTCCTATTTTCAGTCATAGAAGGATTTTTCTGGCTTCATAGGCAGTACGCATAATTATCATTTTACTGTTCACATAATGTACCATTTAATAATATTCCATAATTTCATTAATTCATAATTTGTTGGACATTTAGGTAACTGCTTATTTTATAATGCAGACAAAATCATAAGCAAGAACTCTTTCAACTTTGAATTTAAAAATAATTTATAATACATTTATTAAATTACTTTTCACTAAAAATCTGTCTGCATAAAATAAGCTCCTTGATGGCAAGAACAGCTTTCTTTTCAATTTCTCTTTTCTCCCAGATACAGTGTAATGGACATATTCAGTGATTTTGTAATAATTTAATGAATATATAAGTGGAAAATAACATGTGTAACTCAAAAGTTGCTGAAATAAATGCCATTTGATGTCCCTCCTAAGTTGGAAAGGACCCAAATAGTATTAGATTTATACCTAGTTTCAAAAAAAGAAAAACCTTAAAATTTAAATTATTTAACATAATTATTTAACGTAAGGATCCCAAGCAACACTTTGAGAAATCAGAATATTGGAGGTGGAGGGAGGATCTGGCCATGTCAGCTCTAGCCCCTCCCTGCCACCCATCTCTCCCACCTCCCTGCTTTTTCTGTGCTGCCTTTTGGAGCTTCAAGCACAGAAAAGTGATGCCTATTGATACGGCTTTGAATAAAAACCCATGCTGTAAATGTGATCCCCATCTATGGGCAGAAAGAGACCTTCCTCAGTTACTGTGTGTAATTGTTGAATGCATCTGTGGCTTACTTAAAGCCCATCTGCACCCCATTCCCCAACGTGCAGCCCGCTTCCTACCAATGAAGGAAGTCAGGTGCTCAGAGCAACTGGCTGGGGCACAGGGCATAGAAAGTGACTCTTTTAAATATTAGAAGTGATTTTTTCTTTCAATCAAGCTCTGATTACTCAAGATGTACAATCATAACAACTCCCAGAGTCTCTCATTTTTTAAATTTACTATTTAAATTTTTTTCCTGTAAAAACTAAAATATATGTGAGTGTTGTCTTGGAATAGTTGGTATTTTTCAGAGATCGAATCTGCACTATTTATGGGTTTTGCACTATAAAACTCTGCAGCCCAGTCACATGGCTTCTTTTTCCTAAGCCATCTGTCACAGAGGTCTGGAATTTTATGTGAATGTTGGTTGTGCAGTCTTAACCCAAGTTTTTAAAAAAAAAATTTTATGAAAAATATCAGCAACTACAATATTTAGCATTTTACTTTACGTTGGTCATTAAACTTGATTACTATGGCTCTGTTTCATTGCCATAGTTACATATCAGCTATAAAGCCAAAAATTGTTTTGATGCACTTCTGGCAGAATGCATTGTGAGATTATGGAGGGGAAAAGCATGTGGCACTGATATGGTTAATATCTTGGATTTTTGTAACTAAGGTTTATTAATGCTGGTATAAAAATGTATTTGATATTATACAGATGGCATAAGATGTTGTGGTTACTACGTTATTATCCCAGATAAGCTGTACTGTCAAATTCAGGGCTTAAAACTATCACAGGAGATTAAACTATTTACTAAAAGGGGACAGAAAGATGTAGTCAAAGCATCTTAGTACGACGTATTAGAAGTGTATTTACTTCCCAATGCATATAATGCGGTGTATCTGGGCGGTAGACCGGGAGCTGGAAAATATGAACTTTGCAGGTGAAACAAGCAAATAGAAGAGGTGCTTCATTCTTTCATCAGGCACAGGCAGCAAATGAGACTGATGCGGCCCCGCACTCAGCCATGACCGCTGTGGGGGAGGAGAAGTTAAAGCATGTCCTCTGGGAAGCGACTGGTGACCACAGGAGTTAGGGCTCTTGCTAAGACATTCAAAGAAGACACCTGCTTTGTCAACCGGAAGGAAAGAAGAAAAAAGAAATTGTCAAGAAGTTAATTGTGAATTGATGGATGGTGGAGGAAATGCCAGAAAGGTGTTATGTGACCCATTTGGAAGAGTGACAGCCTCGCTCTTCCAGCGTTCGGGACTCACTGCATGATAATAATCGCAGCTCATGACTCTTTACCAGCCGTCCCACAGTGCAGGTGCTGAAGAAGATCCAGAGCATGTGAGGAGCTATTGGGACTGGAACCCAACATAAAATGACTACTGTTCCTTAAAAAAAAAAAAAAAAAAAAAAAAAATTATAAAAAAAAAAATAAAAAAAA